TTCAAACATCTTCAAATTTCTTGTAGTATTTAATGATGATTTTAAAATGTCTTTTCCCCACTTGGTCAAAAATAAACAAAGAAACACTATTTTGCCTTTGGATCTTTCTAATTTCCAGTCTGTGGAATATTGTAGATATAATCTCATAGTGTAGCTGCAGTATGGTTTAGAAGAGATCATGGGTTACTTAAATTTCTCATCAGTTTTATCAGCTGCTAATTGTGTCTTTTTAATAATGTCTCTGATGATGTTAGAATAAGGGATCTTGAACATCTTCATTTACATGAATGATGCTTTCAGAGCATCTACAATGTTCTTGTAGTTTCTGAGACTGTCTACAGTCAGCTCCTTAAGTACACAAAGCCAAAACAATGAACTGCCATGAGGATGATCAATGTGACCAAGAATCTTTAGAAAGCAGAAGTGTCTTTTGCCACATAGTCAGTAAGCATTACAAGTGAATGTTGAGAAAGTCCTCTAGAGATGGTGTTACTTTTGCCAAATAAGAGTAGGAACAAGGTGAAGGGCAGAATTGGGTTTAAGTGGTGCCCCAGGGCTGGTCTCTGTTACCATTGTCTTTTGGTGATTCTCTACTGACAGGTCTCCTGGTAAAAGGATGTTTTTTCTTCCATAACTACAAATATTTAAAAGTAATTGTTTTCATGAATTGAGTCTTCATATTTTTGGAATAGTAAGAGTTGTGCTAACATACATCTTATTTGTATAGATATTTGTGAACTTAAACACCATGCATGAGAGATGCAGGGAACAGATTGCCCTCCTGGGAACCTAGCCCTTATTCCCATGCACTGTGGTGGAATAGTAGAGAGCTGCTGTGCTCTAAGTGCTTATAGCCCAAAACATAATGCATAGATTTCTACTGGAGAACAGCAAAGAAACTTTTTCCAGACTTTGGGGAGATGGTGTTGATGATGTCAGGAAATCTTGTTGCAAGAGTGGGGCATGCGCATGGGGACCTGAGTGGTAAGTGTCGCTGGGCAAGAGAAGAGAGGAGGAAAAAAATCCAGAGAGAGGAGACAGACTATTGTAAGGCCAGCATGAGAGAGAGAGAGAGAGAGAGAGAGGAGAGAGAGACTCCTTCAAAAGAACTCAATATGCCTCCATTCCAGCAGCTACATGGTACATGAGGATTGCAGAGGGCATGCTCATTAGTGCAGAGTGGAGGTGTTTTGTAGTAGTTGAAACATGTTGACTTTTACAGCCACCCTATAAAGAGTACTAATTCCCTTTATGGGTTTATGGGTTTATGGGTTATGTGACTGAGGAAAAATTAAAAAGAAATGTGGTCAGGTGATCTGTTCACTTCACAAAGCAGAGCTGTATTTCTACTGAAGACTGCAGAAGTCAAACATTAAGTATAATACTTGAAACAAATATAAGTTTAAAGATTTGATTATTTTGTAGTTAATATGATTGTGAATCTAATAAAGTTTTTCAGCAATATTTTTCTCTCCCTTTAATGTAAGTTTTATATAAAGTATTTTAAAGCAGATAAATTAGTGTTTGCATTAGTCAATTTGGTTTTATTCCTTTTGCCTCCAGAGCACTTTATGAGCACAAATTCTTATTATGCATATGTTTTCCAATAAAAGCATCTGAGTTTATTGGCATCCAGAGGTTAATATTACCATTTTATGTTAAAGATGCAAAGAACTGAATAAAATGAAATGTAACTTTGTTATTCTCCAGACCAAAATATAGTTAGGATAAGTTAAAGAAGGAAGGCAGTTTTTGAAGATAAGTATTAATGCAGAAAAGCATAAATTTTGAACTTTACATAATAAAACATTGACATGTTATAGAATTACAGAATATGTTATCTTCTATGTAATTCCTATTTATAAATATTATAAATAAAAACAAGGAAATTAGTGTCACAATATCAACACAATTGTTGCTTGGGTGAGGAGAAGATTAAGATTGTAGCATACACAGGTTTCTGGGGCAGGCAATGTTCCCTTTCTTGACCTGTGTGGTGGGTCATAACTCATTTAAAACTTAATGCATTTGCACTTTTGACAACTATTTAATATTTTTAGTTTGTATGACAGATATCAAAGATGTAAAAATTTTAAATCTAAAGATTATCAGCAAGAAAATATATCTGTCTTTAGTATTCACTTAGCAAACATTCTTGCTTTCTACTTTACTAAACATAGTAATCTATTAAATAACCCTCAATATACCCTCTCTGCTTAACTTTGTATCATACTAGTCTGTAAGTACATGTTGCTTAAAATATGACATACTATGTCCTCAGTAAATAAGAACTGTAAGTCCATATGTGTTAGTAACCAAATTAGGAACAAATATTATTAGGAATATTGATATTTCCATCTACCTATTTAGAACAGAATTTTAGAAAGTTTGTAGCATACCACAGGTTTCTGGGGCAGGCAATGTTCCCTTTCTTGACCTGTTGGTGGGTCAAACTCATTTTAAACTTAACTGCATTTGCACTTTTTGACAACTATTTAATATGTTTTAGTTTGTATGACAGATTATTCAAAGATGTAAAAAATTTTAAATCTAAAGATTATCAGCAAAAAATATATCTGTCTTTAGTATTCACTTTGCTTTCTACTTTACTAAACATAGTAATCTATTAAATAACCCTCAATATACCCTCTCTGCTTAACTTTGTATCATACTAGTCTGTAAGTACATGTTGCTTAAAATATGACATACTATGTCCTCAGTAAATAAGAACTGTAAGTCCATATGTGTTAGTAACAAAAATTAGGAACAAAATATTATTAGGAATATTGATATTTCATCTACCTATTTAGAACAGAATTTTAGAAAGTTTTTAAGGGGTATACACTGATTATTTAAATGTATTCTGAAATAATATTAAGTGGCTAGATCAGCTGGACACCTCCATTCTGAGCACCCCGTGATTAATAGTGTTGGATGGCAAATGTTTAGAAGTTGTTCTTCTTTAATTTCTCCAGTTTATATGGTTGCACTTACTACGATTTTGTTAAAGCATTTCTTGTTTTCACTGATTTTATCTAAGTTTGTGGGGAATGCTGAACTTCAAAGAAATAAGTGAGATGGGTAAGAAATACCAAGTGTACTATTACAGGGAAAGCCTTTCAATAAAAAACACTTAAGAACATTATTTTCAACTGAAAAATTTAGTATTCTAGAATTATAGATTAAAGAAGTAAATTTAAAATTTTAAAACATGTTCAAATGATTTTATTTTTCCTGAAGAAAGAGGAAATACAATGGCAAACATAACATTAAGAATACCAAGATTAGCTAATAAAAGTATAATTCTAAGAAAAGTAAAATTCAGTATCATCTGAAATATTAAGGTCAAGTAAAAAGAAATTAAAGCATACTGAGACATGTTTAGAGTGGTAAATATTATGTCTTTAATACATTTTTAGAGTGTTAAAAATGTAAAACACTAATGAGAGATAAACTATGTAGAGAAGAATCTCAAAATTTCTAGAAAATGAAATAGCATATAGAAAAACAAAACAAGAAAATCCTGAAAAAATAATTATATTTACTACTCAGATGTTTACCCATGAAACCTGAAGTTTCCTAGGACCAAATCAAATTTGAGAGCATAAATAATGTATCAACAACAGTACTTACTCAGCAAAAACCTTGTTTTGCTCTACTTTTCAAAATGATGAACACTTTGTGAATTAAATTCAATCATAGTAAATTGAATTCATGTGAATTGTGTTAGCTGTTCAAAATGTGGTCATCATCTATAGCAACCAACTACTCAGTACAACAATTTTGGAGTTAGCATAAGTGAAATAAGTATGCTAGCTCTTTAGAGGATGTTTCAGTGATCATAATGACTGCCAACAAGCATGTACCTGATGTGCTAGGGCAATTGACTTAAGGCCACTGGATTTGCCAGAGGAATGGCTTTCAATTTATCCAACCTTTATTTTCCTAGGAGTCGTTCACGCTTCAACTCAACATTACCTCATTTGATCTAAGTAAGATCATAAATTTTGGTCTCATATTTATCTAATTGTAAATTTATTTGTTTCATTTTCTTCACTCCAAAAAATCAACTTTATGTGAGTGGTTATGTAGATACAATCCAAAAAAATGATTGTTTTCATATGTAAAGTATCAGTCACCTTTTCTCCACCATGTGAAACCTTCCTTCTCTCCTATCTAACTTGCTTTGGTCACCCTCTTATTTGGTATTTCTTAGTCCCTGAGCATACTGTTATTGGAAAGCAATAAAAGTACACAAATCTACTTTGTCTATTATTCTCGCAAGCTCTACAGGAGCTCTGTATACTCTCCTTCTATAACAGTGCTGCATATGTTAAACAAATTTAATAATTATCTCCTGGATGAATAAATCATTTAAATTACCTGGTAGAAGCATCACAGATATGATCCAATGCCAAATAGTTAGAGCTGAGGAAGTGAAGTACTTACTGCTTTAAGTTACTGAAAAAAATCATGTGTGAACTTGACTGACACACATTTAGGATAATTGAGATCATTTTAGGGTAGAATTAGGTCTTTTCTGATAGGTAAGTATTGTACTTACTTGTTCTTGATGTTGACTAAGTGGTCTAGAGTGAACCAATCTTTCTGGCAGTTTTCGGTCCAGACCATGTCCATTTTCCAAACGAGACTCTCTGGGTTTATCAAACCAATCTGTTTCCTCACGACGCAAGTGATAAGCTTTGGAGACCATGGAAAATCATACATTGCAACCAAAACTAGTCAGATGGTTGAAGGCAGCAGACGTTGTGCAGTATTAATATGCACTAGGCTTGTTAACCACACATGCATTTCAGATAAAACTCCCTCCCAATGGAATCAGAAACATCATTTTCATTATCAGCTCTAAGGGGAAATTATGTTAAAATTTCATACCATAGAATAGCCAAGAAAAATGATGCACATAGAAGTTTATCCCAGAACAAAATAAGACCAAAAAAATCAAATTTTGAATCAGAATAAAATGATAGTTAGGTAATGATGGAACAGATAAAAGAACAGAGCTGTCATTATATTTAACTTCAGCCTGTCAGTTCCCATTTTATCCCCTTTCCCTCAAACTTAAAAAACAAAACAAAACAAAACAAAAAATATATGCCTTGAGTATGGTGGGGGAAGTTTCGGTTACTTTTCCACTGTTACATAAACTCAGTACCAATATGTGGCTACTGGATTTCACATTGACTGATTTAAAAAAAAATGGCATTTACAAAAATGATACTTGTTCAAACTATTCCAGGAGTTGGGGAAGGGGAATAAGGGAGAGCAGTGTCAGTGAACTGAAGTATGATATATTTCATACATTGTAAGAACTTTTGAAAATGTCATATTGTACCCCCACCCAGCACAACAATTAAAAAAAAAAACCCTTAGAGAAAAAAAACTATGGCATTTATATGACATTTGCAAATAAGCAAAAACATTTGTTTCTAAGAATTTCCCAAGTGTTATTGCCAGGGACATGTATGCCTTTAGTACATGGTGGATTAATATTAAAAATATTTCTTAGAATTTTAATACAAATAAATCTATTATTTTCTTAAAGCAAACTGATTTTGAAATTTTATTGAGAATTTGACTGCTTTTTAAAAAATATATACTATGATAAAACTTTACATCATAAAGTAGTTTGTTGAAAATGTGATCATATTTAAAATATACAGTTATTTTAAAATTTTCATCTCATTCCATTACTATTTCAGGTCTCTTAAGGCTATTCTGTAGTTACTAAGTATTCTATTTTACCTAGTAATTTGACTTTGGGCTGGGGATGTGTCTCCAGTGATAGAGCACCTACCTAGCAAACTTGAGGTCCTGAGCTCAAACCCCAGTACTGTCAAAAAAGGGGGAGTGTATTATAAATTGCTGTATTTTTTAAAAGGTCCCTGATTAAAAGTCTTTGGAAATTCATTGCTGACTCCTACATGGCAGATGGAGCATCCCTTCTCCAGTGCTCATCCTGAAGGATTTACTGAAGATACTGTCAACCTTTGCTTTCTTGAAACTGCAGTTCATATGATACTACATTTTGAGTTCTCCTCTCTGTATCATTGTGGTTTCCTTTTTGTGCATACTTCTGACTACATTTTTTCCAAAACTCCCTCCCTAGATTTTTTTCCATGCCATTCTCATCATATCCAAGGCTGGTCTGGACCATTCAGTGTATGTACTACCACATGTACAGGCTTGCTCAGTACTGCTGCTATTTAACCATAGCATTTCCTCCAATAAATATGGAACGAGAGAAGATATGTCATGGGGTAAGTGCTCTTATGTGAGAAATACAATAATCCGTATCTGGTTTGTGGTTGCTTATGTACTTAACTGCGTGCCTACTAGACTATCAGGTGCCTGGAGGCAATGCTGTCCTCCCTGAACACAAAAAGAAGGCTTTGCAATGGCATAACTTTAAATAAATATTTGTGGTATGAATTAAGAACCTCATTAATAGATGCAACTTTTCCCAATATACTCAACAATTACTATGGCGCACAGCATTATTAATTTGAAACCAAGCTACTAATTTACAAAAAATATTCAGTGTAACTGACATTTGATAAGCAAAAATAAAACAACTCATTGTTTAATCATCATTCTCTGAAATTTTATTAGATTATCCTTAACCACACTAAGGATAGAAAAATTCTGTCTATGTCTTATTATTTTACCTTAATATTTTCATCAAAAGCAACCACAATAAGGACAGAAGAATTTTTTTATATCTTACATGTTTCTATTACCTTATTGTTTCTTACATGTTTCTATTACCTTATTGTTATCTTTTCATGAAAAGAAACCACAGTAAGGATAGAAGAATTTTGTCTATATCTTATATGTTTTTATTATTTCATCTTTATCTTTTCATGAAAAGACACTAATATCCTGAATAATGATGTGTATGAATTTATTTGAATATATAACTTTCCTAATTGCATTTGCAATACACATTTTTAGGAAACACAAATGTTATTCTTGGCCATAGCTACAAAAATGAGGCAGAATCTCAATCTGTTCTAAATTTTTACTGATTTATTTCCAATTCTTTTCACCTACTTTGGTTTTCTGCTATTTCTAATAATAACTCTACATATAATTGAATGAGGAGCTATCATCCCGTCATAGAAATATAAAATTAACCAAAAGCATTGAGAATGAATAACATGCTTCTATACTGGATTCTACCTTTCTCATTTAGAGCCAGTAGTACATAATGGTAATTGCTTATAAATGTAATTGTCTGACCTGTCATGTTAGGGTCACATTTTAAAAATAAATTTAATAAAAAGTAACATGTTCCAAGTTAATTCAAATAATTTCCTGGAGATTAAAATGCTCATTTAAAAAGTTTTTAATATTTTCTTGAATTCTTAAGTATAAAAATGCACATAACCTATTTTGGGGTCTAGTATTATTCACAGATAATAGTCCCATAAATAGTTTAATTATGCTCAGTAACAAATATTGGTTAACTTTTTTTAAAGACTATATGTACTAATTCTTTTGTGGGACACAGGATTAAGCACATTATAAAAGAATGTTTTCAACAAAAGATTTGTTGTAGTAGAAATAAATATAATTTGACCATTTATGGCTTAGCTGGTAACCATAAATATTAAGCACAAATTATATTTCAAAAACTAGATATAACTAGTGTACATCTGAAAAAATCTTATAGCCTATAGCATAAAGTTTAATTGAATTCAGAGAATGCATACAACAAACAACTTGAAGTTAAGTTTGCTTAGTCTACACTAAATAACCTGTTCAAAGTTATTCTAGGAATATTCAAATACAGAAATAGGATTATGTTTGCTAAAATGTATTTAAACATCTGTAACATTATGAGTTCATAAATGTTAGGAGTAATGTCATTTTAAAAAGATTTTATATTTTCCCTTAAATACCCAAAGATTCAAAAATCTGAAAGATTTCAAAAGAAAAGTACAGCAATTTTCAGTAGAGAAGAGTGATACATTTTTATGGTATGAAATCAAGAAAATGTATCACATTATATGATGCATACCTCTTAAAGTCACTACAACTCACAAACTTATTACATACTCAATTTAAGTCAATATTAAAGTTGTCTTTTATCTAATTTTGTATCAACAAATCTTTGTGAACATTTATTTGTCTAACTTCTAACTATATTTATCTCTTAAATTTCACTAAAATTGGTTTCTTCTTTGGTATCATCTTTATCCACTTCAGAATTTTGTAGGCTGCATGATGTTTTATTTAGTTTATCAAAACAATTTTGGAGCCTTGATGACTGTGAGTGTACATCAGTCAAACATGTAAATAAGAAATAAACACTCAGTTGTTTCACATATTGGGCTATCATGAACATATTTAACACCATGTGGAAAAACATTTGTGAAGAATAAATGAATTTCTCCAATTCTTCCCTATCTGGAAAGAATATGCTCACCTATGTACACAAAAAGTTCAGTTCACACAGTGTTCAGTTATGCAATACATTTAGAGTTTTTGTTTTATTTTGTAAATGTGGCTATTGAAGACCATTGTTATTCTTCTGCAAGTTCTATGTATGTAAAATGTGTGTAAAATGCATATTAGAAAAAATAAAGAAAGCATTAACGGCTGTTTCAACATAATATCACATTTCTGGTAAGCTATGTCCATCAATTAAAATAATTGGATAAATTTTAAAAAGTACACAAATGCAGTGTTTTATTTAAATGACTGTCAATAAAAATGATCAATCCAACAGCCTGGAGAGAAGCATACAGATCCCAAAGTGACTGGACTATTGGGATTTCACATGGAAAGGCAGTTTGTCTTCCTTCACATCAAATGACTACTTAACTTCTGCAAAATCACATCTGTGTCTAGATACTAAAATAGGAAGACAATTCTTTTTATGAAAACACATTTTCCTGAAAGTCTTCAAGAAAGAAGTTAGATTTGAAAGGGAAAATATTCATGCCAGTTTAGTTCTTTGGAGTCTCCAAAGCAATGAAGTAAAGATGCTTTTATTCAAAATGTTTTATTTCCAGGACTATAACTCCACAAACATTAAAATGTAAACCAAAAAGGAAGTTAAGAAAAGAAAAAGAACTGAGATCCATTCTTGGTATGCACAAGGCTCTCCACAATCTCGTACCACTTCTCCGTCATGTTGAAAATTAGACTTGGACTAGATAATTTTCTAAGATCCTCAAGACATTATATGATTAAACAAAAAAGATTCATTTAAATCAGTTTTTAGTTAAGTGTGTGTCTGTCTTAAAGGAGTTGTTCAATATGAAAAATTACCAAAACAATTTAGGGCAAAAACAACAGATAATACAAAAAGCAAAGCCAGGGAAAAGTCAAATGAGCACACCAGGAAGGCTTGAACTGCAAATAGCCAAAATCCCAAAAGTAGTTTATAATTTTTTCAGTTTTAAATCTAAAAAAATACTTCTTACATACTGATTAGATTTTTAAAATTTTATTTAGTGCTAAATTTTCTAGCATGTAATGCAAAATTTACAAATGTGTTAATAATGAGAGATGTAAAACAGAAATCTTTTATTTAATGAAAATTATAGAATTCTGTATTATACTAATATCAGAAAATGATCCAAAAGTTCTCAAAAAGAGAACATTCTCTGAATTAGTGAACACTTATCACATAAAAGTAACATAAATCTCTACTAAAAAACCTAGGAAACTATTACTTAATGGCTGTAACCCAGTTGTGTAATAATTTCACAAACTGAAACTGACCAAATAGTTAAAAATTATTTCAAAAAATGAAAGACCCATACAATGAAAAACTTTCTATTTATGAATTTAAAGAATGGCCATATGTTACTGATAGAATACTAACAAAAGCAAAACAAATCAAGCAATTAAGACAGAACAATAAAAGAATAAACTAAAAATAATTACAGAAACGCATGCCACAAAATCTATACACAAGATAAAATTTCCATGTACAAGAAATAAAATTGAAGTAAACATGCAAAAGATGCAACCAGACAGATAGAATACATCCTTGGAGAAGGAGAATTAAACATGCAGAAAAATATGAGTTTGAGTTTTGAGAGCAGCAAAGTAGTTTTAGGCCCAATTTACCTTCACTGTCTGACATTGCATGTTGGAAGTCATCCATGATGAATGCTATATCGCGGTCATAACCTCGAGTTCGTGATTCCTCTCTCATGTGTTGCTGAACTTCAGGCAATGAATGACTTGATCCAAACTGATCCCTCGTGTCTGCAGATATTGGTGGTAGGGGTCCAGCTGCAGCCCTAGCCATTCCCATTGGCTGGCCAACAGGACTGAGTGGACTTTCTTCTTCAGAATTCTGGGCCACAATTGGTATCCTTCCTCTACTCTGGCTAATTGGTAAACTGGTAGGCTTAGTTCTGGCAGAGGATGATGCATGACTAAAGGAAACATCTAGAGCTTCAGCCTCCTGAGCTTTCAGTCTTAGTGAAGAGCTGGAAGAATCCCTTTTAATTGATAAATCAAGCCCATAGACAGAGGAAGGTCTGGAGGAAGGCCTGGATCTGCTACCGCTACTGTATGGTTTATCTGCTTCATCCTGCAGGGCTGACCGTATGGTACTCCCTAAAGTGCCTAGTCCTGAACCAAGAGATGATCCCATGAATTTTTGTTGGTCTGTAATATTTTTTCGGAGGCCAAAAGTGATGTCATCTTGAAGAAGTCTTGCTCTAGAAGAAATACCACCAATAGATGAAGTGCTAGAAGACATATAGCTTGAATAATCAGGTTCAAGGTCTCTGCTTTCTTGAATAGGTGAAAACTTGGACATTTTAGGGTCAATTATTGATTTCTTATGTTTTGACTGCTTTTGATAAAGTATGGCTGCTGGTAATTGTTTGGCTGCTTGTTTTTCAAGTGTGAGTCTGCTGATGCTATACTTTTCAGATTTTGGAAAATGTCTATAGCTAGTATCAGCATGGTAATAATGTGAAAGACCAGCAAGGTGATCTAAGCTCTCTGTCCCCCTACGGAATTCTTGTTTAATCTGATGTTTCAGAAGCTTTAACTCATATGGATCCTCCATTGGGTCTTCCTCTGCTTTCACATAACTATGTAATCTAGAAGAAGTCTGTAAAGGTGCTAGGAAATCTGTCACTTCTTGAGACCTACGTGTCTCAGTGGTTCGGAGGAGACGATCTGTTTTTGACAGATCCTTTTCATGAAGGCTAAATGCGGTGCTTAATGCTGCTGTTCCTTTGGTAATCTCTCCAATATCATCAATTAGGACATAATTTCGCGAAGTATGATGGTCAATATCTGCATAGAAAGAATCTGCAGATATACTTGATATTGGACTGCTTGCCATGCTACTTCTTTCCTCCAGGCCTATTCTCAGATCTAAACTATTGTATTTACTACCAAGATGGGAAACAGCATATGTATTATCCGTTGAAACAGGTGCTATCATCAGGGGCTGGTTGCGAATCACTTCATAGTTTGAAGTTATCTTGGGCTCCAAATATAATGTAGTTTGCCGTGGCTTCTGTTGTATCACCATCATCTGGGATGGTAACTGGTAAGATGGTTGTGGGGCTGGTGTAGCTTGTGGTGTGAAGGACATGGTTGCTACAGCTTGGAAAGTTGGTTGAGTCTGGTAAGGTGAGACTTGCTGATGGTACAGAGTTTGTTGTTGGAAATGGGACTGCTGGGTGAATGGAGTGGGTGCTTGGGTCGGAAGAGCAGGAGAAGAGTATTGATATGGTGTATAAGGACTAGTGGGAGGAACTAGTTGAGACTCCGTTTGGGTTTGTGGTGGTATAAACTGACTGAACTCAGTTTGGGGAGCAGTTCTTGGTCGCTCAATCCCATGCTGACTTTCTATTCGCGTTGGTCTGGTGCTGCTGACTTCACTGTCAGACATGTAGTCACGGTCCTCAGCTACCCCCTGCAGGTAGGCTCGTTCCCTTTTTTCTCTTTCCTTTAATAATGCCTCTTTCCTCCTGTTAATTCCCATTTCCAGGTACCGGAGCTTGGCATCAATCTCCTTTTCTTCTTCATCCAGTTCTGCTTGTTTCTTTCTAAGCTTGGCAGATTCCCTTTCCACAAGATCAAGCTCTCTGTCTATGTCCTGGAGAATCTTGGCTCGAGCCATGGTATTGGTTCTGCAGATCCTTCTCCTAGAAGCTGTGCCCATTGTGCTGTATGTTGACTGAGTTCCTGTGGAAGCCTCCTCAGGAGGTGGGTTTGGCAGTGTTCTCTTAACTTTTTTCTGGGTGCCAGAGGGTGTCATGGTTTGAGAGCCTTTTGCCTATAATCAAGAAAACAAAATATAGGACTTTATTATCAAAGAAAATGATAAAGACCAAAAAATTCATAATTTATAATTGATACTTAAATAAAAATGATTTCATGTATGTTGTGGCTATCACAGCATAATAAACTAAAAAACTCTAATAATCTTAAGTGTTGGTAACAATATACAATTCACTGCAAAATGTTATTCTTTCCTGACAAATTGGTCTGAAAATTATGCTTTATTATTAACCTGTAATCATAGAGGTGAGTTTTAAAATAAGTGCCAAACTCATTGTTATAATAGTTTTATATTTTAGACTCTTAGGAGAACTATTAAAAACTCATTTTCCATCAAAATTAATATGTATATGCATAAAATTAATTACTGAATCTATTCCCAAAGTACTAGTGTTGTCTGTCTAAAACCTAACTTACATTTGTTGAGGATGTTGGTTTACTGCACTAAATTCATATCACACCAATCTTACATATCCCACCCTTGGAGTGGCTATCATTCTTTTTCTAATCCCTGCCATATTTTGAAATGAAATCCTCAAATTCTCTCATTTTTTTCTCCCAAAAGAATAAACTGAACTAATTTCCTATTTAATATTAATATTTTCATTTTTATTTAAGTCTGTATTTTCTTTTTTTTGCTTTTATCACAGATTGCCAATTTACTTATTTATTTTTGTAGAACCACCAAATGGAAATTTTATTTTTTTTTCATTTATTCATATGTGCATGATATTTTCTTTAAACTTTAGTATTCTTTAATAATTTTAGTTTCTTCTTGGTGCTTTGGCAATTTCTACATGGAGCAAAAAGTACTGATTGTAATAAAAATTCATTAGAACCATTTTTGAATGTGATAAAGTATATAGTTGGTGAGCTGACAAGTATCTTTTTATTTTATTTATTTATCATAAACTTGCCTTCTGAGAAGCACAGGTCTTCAGGAACATATAATCGACTATTAGAAGACATAAGAGACCATTTGACTACTTACAGTTACAATAAACTTGTGCTCTTCAACATTGGTGAAGTATCAGTAACATATTTACAACTAGACCTCAGGTCTTCTGCCTCCTAATCACATATTTTTTACAAGATGCTATCTTTGTTCTTTCTCTTTTGACCCAAGCACATTAATTACTCTCTCTTTCTCCATTTACCAAATAATGATGGCAGAAAAATAACAGAAAATAGATGAGTCTATGAATTTTGGAAATGAAAATTATGGTTTATTAATTAGACCCCATTTGTCCAAGAGCCTGTGCTTTCGTTGAAATTTTTTATCATTTCCAAATTCATGTTTTAATCTGATTCCTGGTATCATTTTTCTGCTTATTTCATGTACTTCCAATAGTTGCTTCTTTAATAGATGTCAGGATATGAAACAATATCCCAACAATTTATTGGAGTTCATGTGCATTTCTGAACTTTAAGATGTTTGGGTGGAAATGAATAAATGCTATGAGTCTATGAAATAGCTTACAGAGATTCTGAAATTGTAGTTTTTTCATCCTCATGGAGAAATCTGAAGAAATATTAGGAAGACATATTTCCAAAGCAGCTGACTGCCATGTCACTTATTCTCTCTCCTCTTTAATTATTTTTATTTTATGTAACAGGCACAATTAAATCATAGAGCTCTTATGAGTATTCAATGAGACAACTGTGTAATAAGGTAGGCACCCATTAACTATTAGCTCCCTCAAAAATCTTATTTCTACAGAAAACCTGGGCTTTTGGTAAAACCATATTCCAAATATTTTTATAAATCCTTATTTACAAAAAATGCATATGCCACACCATTGAATATCAGTTGAGCAAAATTAGTAATAAAATGAAAGTTGAGTTCTGCTATTTTCTTTCTTTTTTGGCAGTACTAGAGATTTAACCCAGGGCTTTGTGTTTTCTAGCAAACTCTCTACCACTTAAGCCATACTCAAGCACTTTTTACTTTAGTTTGTTTTTCAGATTGAGAATGTCTTGGGCTCAGACATTGATCTTCCTACATTGTCCTCTTGAGAATGCAGATGTATGCTGCTACACCCAGCTTGTTTTTTAGATGGGGGCCTCCTAATGTTTGCCTTTGAACCAAAATTCTCCTATCTCTGCCTCCTATGTAGCTGTGATTGCAGAGTAGGCTATCACATCCAGCCCTAATCATTTTAATAGTCAACAGTTTTCCACAACATTAATATAGATATATGTTTCAAGTAATTCTAAAGTTTTTCATAATAAAGAATATAATGGTGTGGAACTGAAGGCTGCTTAAGAATTTAAAAATTTTAAATGTTCTATACTACATGATCATGATTCTGAAATGATTTGATAACAGGGTGTTTAATTCTGTTAGGAAATGAGATGGCAGTGAATAAAATAGAGATATTTCAGAGTAAGAAGTCTCTTACCTACCAAAGGAGACAGACATCCTAAGTGCCTCAATCTTATTATCATACGATGTTTACAAATATCAAAACAGCCTCCTATATCCTATGAGTATGTACAATTAAAGTACACCAATTAAAGACAAATGAAAAAAATGTTGGTTAATGTAAAACTGAATGCAGATCTTGGCAGAAAGAAAACACACGAAACAATTTTTTTTACTAGGAATGGAGAAAACAGAGAAAATGAAATTTCTGGGTACACAAGTATATTTTGAAATTTAATTTTTAAAAATATTGTAGAGACCTATTAAATGAACATAAAATAATTTTTGAATGAAATAATTAAGAGTTGAAAGAGTAGAACTTGTGACTATTTTTAAAGATCCTGAATTTTTCAAAATTCACTGAGTAGAAATGGAGCATGCAATAAGACAAACCACTAAAAAGTCTATAGCATTAAGATTAACAACAAAAATAACATAAAATTTTGTCAACTCTTGTTATTATTCATACCTGCTCACAATTTTTTTTCTTAATTTAACTTTTACTGTTTATAATTTTCATTTGAATAGGCTTAGTAGTCTACTCTACTTTTTGCCTTTTTTATAAAGTCCTAGATTAAAGAAACATTCCAGTTATTGGAAATTTCTAATTATTCTCCATGGTTGCAAATTTTTAATGACCTGTGACTTGTGTTAATTAATATTTTGGGAGCCAGGACATGAGCCATGGAAAGAAGAGACAAAGGTGGTTGGTAGAAGCAAGATACTTATTGAATTAACCTTATTGATCACTCAGTCTCAGACTTAGAAAGTGCTTTGCTATTAGCTGCTTGGTAACACAACAGCTTTTACAGTGACTACAGAAATAGTCACAAAGGTAGAGACTTGTTAAGATGTCAACTGTCTCTCTCGTAAATGAGAGATGGTGCTATTCACTTTTCTAATTACTTTTCTCTGGCCAAACTTTATAATAGTTTCTATCCTAGTGTTGCCTTTTGCAAACCTTGAGACCTACTAAAGGTCTCAAGGTTTCTCTGGGCCTCAGTTTTCTTATATGTAAACAAATGGTTACTATTTACTATTACATTATTGGCCTATCTAAGGAGTAAATGAATTAATACAAACATAGATTAGAAGGTGCAAACAAAACACCTTCCTACCACTATTTTATTGAATTGGTACTTGAATGGGATGAACCCTAATCAACATTTTGGTCAAATTCCTTGTGCCTCAAGTAATCAAACCACAAAGTATTTATTGTTTTCAAAAAAAATTATCCGATAAGAAATTACACATCACAACAAAATTGACTTAACTTTCAAAATGTCACCATCTAGTTTCTGTTTAAAAAATCAAAGGGATTATGTTTCTAGAAAGAATTAGTTTGACGACTAAGCACTTTCCCATAAAATGAATCCCCCATCCCAGGTTTCAAAGATTAATTAAGGAGAATATGTAACATTATCAGAAAAGTGTTCTAAAAGTGTACTGTTTTCAAATGAAAATATATAATCTTTCCTAAGTGACAAAAGATTCTTTTTGAAAGAGGAGCCTTTGATAGTACAGTATCCTATAAGGACATTTTAAGTCGGTGTGGAAACTTTTCTGTAGTAAAAATCTTTTTAATCATGTGAAATAAACTGTATTTTAAAATATTTATTGACTGTGAGGAATGATGAAATTACTCTCATAAAAAGAATAGCAAAAGAAACCAAAAGCAAATGAACAGTTCTGTTTTACACAGTATAATTCCAAAAAAGTAAGTATAATAACTCAACTTTATCCACTTAACAAATCAAGACACCTTTCAATCAAGTTCATTTATTCATCCCTTCAGCAAAAATGTTGGGTACCATGTGCTGGGCACTGACATAAAAATGTTAATAAATAGCTTTATATTCCTAGGCTGCTATCTATTAGCATATTGCAATATAGGGATGTCTTAAAATTACATGAACACTTCTAGAAACATAAGAGATATTTTTCCCTCAGTATAGACAACAATTGCTTCTAACATTCTGATTGAGGGCTGATACATGCTCATGATGACATAAATATCCAGAAACTTGGTTTTTGAAAAGGGATTGGATCACAATCTGAGTACATGGGATTAAGAAGGCAGAAGGCTTCCATGCCTAATAAAAATGCAATGAAGACAGGAGGATATCAAGTCAATTTTTCTTGAATCACTTCTATGATTGGCTTCGTAACACAGTGCAGGATTTATATCTACGTCCTTTAGGTATGACACATCAGAGTGATGTGTCAAGTAAGAAGAATAGCTACTAATCAATGCTTGTTCATTTAATTTCCTAAACACAAGAGGTGACAGCCTACAATAACTATCTGTAGTATATAATATGAAAAGAATTGACTTCCAATCCCAAAAGAGTGTCTAAGCTGGACTTCCTCAGGACTTGAACTTTTCATCATTCTTAAATTCTTTGGAATACAATGATGTTGTCAGGGGTTATATTTAAATTGCTGTTGTTGATAAACATGAGGCTAAAATGTAGGTCTAGGAAAGTTACATTGGGGATGAAAATTGAGGGTTATCTTGACTACAACAAAGTCATAAATACAAAAGCCAGAAGGTAACATGGGTGTGTAAC